AAGACGCATGTATATATGCACATTGAGGAGAGACCTCCTCTCTCAGGCGGAGGGCTCGATTTGGCAAGTAAAACTTATTTCCATAGTACACACTTTCACTTATATTAGCACGGGCGTAATTTCCTATTGGGACAGGGGGGACATGTCCCCCCCACAAAATCCCCCAACCCCCCCCCCCCCCCAAATTCGTTTGTTATGATTTTTTAACCGGCGCGCCGATCGCCACGGAGGAGCAGGACCGAGCAGAACACAGACAGGATGCCTGTCTCTGTCAATGCCCCAGCCAACATTGATATGTGGGCCCCATGTGGGTTATATCCAGGCAGCATGGGTTCCTTGTGGGCATGGGCTGAACATGGGCAATTAATGTGGGTCCCATGTGGGTTTCACTATGTGGGTCACATATAGGTATGCCCATGTTGAATGATAATATGGGACCTTCATAGGACCAATGTGGGCAAAATAATTTCATGCTTAAAATATATATATTTATACATTTAAACTTTTGAAATGATAACATTTGGTTGATAGTCACTTTTATACAAATAACAAATAATATCATAGATAGGATCTGATCAGGATAACAACTTTTTAAATAAAATGCATTATTTTCTATTGTGACTTTCATTTTGTTTGAATTATCATTATTACTGCCTATGAATTTATCAAACATGTATTTTATTTCCAATTTGCAAACCTGGGAATGAGAGAAATTAAGAAATGTCAGAAATTAAGTGGGTCCCATATGGGACCTACGGGTTCTACATGACCTAGTCACTGACTGAAGACACATTTACGCATGCCAAAGTAGTCCTGCTTCGAATGTTTTTAATTGCGAATTTTCCACATATCACTATATCATATGTCATATAATATTTGCCGAAAATAATCGGAAATTGAAAATACAACTATAAAGATTTTAAAAATTCAAACTACAAGAATTCCCGCCCAGGCGCAAGGATACAGTTTCTTTCAAACGTAGAGCGGTGGCGCCGGTGAAGCGAGCGACTTCACTTCAGACTTCACTTCATAATCGTTTCTGGATATTTCGACGAGGTCGTGGATAAAGAAATAAGCAGGTAAAATGAATATTTTCTAAACATGTCTGTATTATCTGTGTTTTTAACCATAGCGAACTTTGTTTTGGCACCTGAAATGACCTTTAAACAAATTTAGCCGTTAAGTTGTCTTTTTATTTTAGGCACGTAACAGTAAAATAGGCCTATTATGTTTGGGGGGCTTAAAATTGAGGTCATTTCTGTTGACAGTAAGGTGTACTTTTGTTTTTGCATGTCATTAATCAAGTCACATTCCCATTTTTATAGATTTTATGCTTTAATTATGCTTTTTGTGTTCACCTGAGGTAACGTTAGCATAACGTAAAACTTTCCACAGCAGCCGCGATAACACCAATTTATAATAACAACTTTTAATGGCATAGTTCAGAATTTTTAAGGTATCCGACATAAGATGAGTGTCTAAACACGGAATAATGCTGCTTTTGAAGGCAAGGGCTAACGTTAAAAATGGTTGCCTTTAATTTACTTATGCAGCTAGGCAACAGTCCCGCTCAAGTCTGCAGTGAGAATGTCCTGGCTTTAAGGCCATTAAAAAGTTTATTTAGATCTGCTAACGTTGTAGTAGATGTATTTTTATGCATTTTTGTTGCGATTAGTTTTATAACTAATCACACTTCATGTTGCAGTTAGCAATGGCCAGAGATGTTTATGTTAACGACGTTAGCCTACCACTGATGAGTCACGTTTGTGTAATGTTACGCACCATAGACTGTAAGGTATGCACGTTCTGCTCTCTTGTAAATGATCTCATCATAGTCCAAAAATTATGCAAGATTCCTTTCAGTGTAGACAGATCCAGTGATCAAAGATTCAGAGGTTTTGCGTAAGTCCATAACTCATGCTAATGTTAGCCTTTATGTAATTTATTTCCAAACTGAAATTTGTTTTTCATGCAACTAAAATAATCAGTAGGTCTTGATTTGATAAATAAAACTAATTCATGAACCTTCAATCCACCTGCATAACCTGAAGCTTGTTTTGTCTGTGTAGTTAGAATATGACGTTTCAAGGTTATTCTTAACTATGTGACATTTATTAATGCTGTTGACTGAGCTAAACTTGTTTTAAACCTTTTTGTGTAAACACACAGGTGTCAAAAGTTTCTAGTATTTTAGAGAATTTAATTAATTTGGAAGTAGGCTATCTAATGCTCACCAAGTCAGCATTAATTAGGCCTATGTTTTAAAATGTAATCAATCCCTGTGATGCAAAGGAGCTTTTTCAGCAACCACAAAAATATGAAGCAGCAGAACTATTTTTATCATTGATAATAAACAGAATTACTGAGCAGCAAATCATTATATTAGAATGATTTCTGAAAGATCATGTGACACTGAAGACTGGAGTAATAATATTTTACAATATATTTAAGTAGAAAACATTTTAAATTGTAAACATATTCTCAAACACAATATTATTTTAAATGCTATTATATTAGTCATATTTTACTGAATTTTTACTGTATTGATCAAATAAATGCATCCTTAGTGACTATACCAGACTTCTATTAAAGGCATTTAAAAATACAATTTTGACCGTGTGTGTGTGTGTGTGTGTGTGTTCATTTTTCTATTATTTTTCCCCATAGGGAAAATAAGTCTTCAGTAAGAGTAGCCAAGAAGTAAATCATCCAGCTACAAGGTGACACACTTTCATTTAACACTTCAATGTTGTATTAGACAAGCGAGCAACTGTTCGAATAAACAAGTCACAGGAAAAGTGTTCAAAAGTAGCACATCCACTAAGACACGCCAGAAACCTAACTAAATGCAAAAAAAGCTGCGAAAGTGAACATTTCATCCGATGTCCCCTTTAAGATACTGTATGTACTTAAGTAAGAATAGGCCTAGTTTTATGATCTCAAACAATTTCTAAATTATGATGTTTAGGTTATTGGTCGTACCATATGTATGCACTTGTAAATTATTCCCAATTTTGTTTTTAATAAAAAATGGAATACTATGGTGCAAGTACACGTACTACACGGCGACGAATCAAAACAAAAGTGCAAGAACATTTAATGAGCCTGGCTGTGGATGCTTTGGAAGTTCTTGATGAAACTGTGCAGCAAAGACTGGATGATGATCAGGATTTTGACAATGATACATTGGATCAACTGAATTTGACACTGGATAGTGATGAAACAAATGACTCATTTCAAGATACTGACGAAGAGGAAATAGAGCCTCAGCTTGACATGAAGACAAAATTGGCTGAATGGGCAGCTAGTCGTAATATCTCTCAGTCTGCTTTGTCAGAATTACTTCAGATACTTATAGTGGAAGGTCTTAATTTACCTAAAGATCCAAGAACACTTATGTCTACTTTAAAAGACTGTGAAGTCAAAAAAATGGGAAGTGGGAGTTATTATCATTTTGGCCTTTGTAACGCAATATGTGCAGAGCTGACCAATGCACAGGATGAACTCACAGACACATTAACTCTCAGGCTAAATGTTGATGGAATACCGCTTTTCAGAAGCTCCAATGCACAGTTGTGGCCCATACTTGGTAAAATTAAGGAGCTACCTGGATCAAACGTGTTTATGATAAGTCTCTATGCTGGCCCATCTAAACCTCCATCAGTTCATGAGTACATGAAAGATGTTGTTGAGGAATTTAAAAAACTCACAAAGGAAGGCTTGTACTTCAATGAGAAACATTACTGTGTTCCCCTGCCTGATGCATTTACGTATATGTGATGCTCCAGCAAGAGCTTTTCTTAAATGTATAAAAGGTCACTCAGGTTACAGCTCTTGTGAACGTTGTGTGCAGTCTGGTGTTTATTTAACTGGAAAAATAGTGCACCCAGATATGGAAGCAGCCCTCAGAACAGATGCCCAGTTTGATGAAATGATAGATGAGGAACATCATCGTGATGTATCACCTCTTCGGGAGTTGGGAGTGGGATTAGTTACATCTTTTGTTCTTGATTATATGCATTTAGTGTGCTTAGGAATTGTCCGTAAACTTGTTTCACTGTGGGTCAAGGGACCCTTGACATGTAGAATTTCATCAAGTGTTCTTTCAGTTGTATCTGAAAACCTGCAATTACTTAGGCAAAATTTGCCTAGGAATTTCTCAAGAAAGCCACGGTCACTTTACGAATATAGCCACTGGAAGGCTACAGAATTTAGGCAGTTTTTGTTATACAAGGGCCCTGTTGTGTTGTTTAATACATTTCCTAAACGTATATATAGAAACTTTTTAGTCTTATCAGTTGCCATGAGAATTATTTTGAGTCCGGATCTGTGCACTAACTATTGTGATTATGCTGAAAACTTGCTGAAATGTTTTGTAACTATTTTTGCCAAAATCTATGGGAATGAATTTCTTGTATATAACACACATGGTCTCATACATTTGGCACAAGATGCTCGTAAATATGGTGCTCTTGACTCTGTATCATGCTTTCCATTCGAAAACTACTTGGGACAATTGAAAAGGATGGTTAGGAAACCTCAAAACCCAGTTGAGCAAATTGTGAGACGTGTGGGTGGGAGACAAACTTTTAGCAGACACACAAAAGGAATATGTGAAGAACAGTTTAAACAGCCGCATTTCTCTGGTCCAACTCCACCAGGATTTTCCACATGCACACAGTTTAAGCAATGCCAATACAAAGGAATGATCATCAGCTGCTCTCCAGGAAACAACTGCTTTGAAATTGATAACAGAGTTTCCCTTGTTAGAAATGTTTTGGTTTCTCCCGCAGCAGACATTTTTGCAGTATGTGAGTTTTTTAATGCAGGGACTTGTTTTTTTGATTATCCTATCAATTCTTCAAGCTTGGGAATTACTGTCGTCTCAGGACTTACTGGCCAGTTATTTGTTGTTCCAGTGGCACAAATAAAAAAAAAAAAACTTGTTCTTCTGCCAATGACTGATGTGTATGTGGCTTTGCCACAGCTACATGATTACTGACTCTATATTTTCATGGTTCAGAATGTCCCATTTTAGTGTTGTGGAGTTCACTGATGAATTTACAGCCGATGAAAGGACTGTCATTGATGTCATTCCTACAAGCTGGATTACTGGACCCAAAAAGAGATGAATGTTTTTGGCCTACTGGTAGAACTCTCTGTATCAGCAAGGCTGTAAAAAAACCCAAATAACTCCTGGAGCAGACTGGGCAAAGTATAGCATACGCATTATAGGAAATGCAGGTAACATGAAAGGATCATTTGCTTGAAAAGATTCCAGACGGTAAGCTTTTTTTCTCCCTAAATGTTTTTTATTTTATTTTACAGAAACATATGCTGCAGCAAGAGCTAAACTTAGCAGGGCCGAGGACACCTCAGATTTACAAACCGACACTGAAATGCCGAAGAAGCGCAAAAGATTGTAAGTAAAAACTTGTTTTTTTTAAGTGATGCCAGAATGTTAGGAGCTAAACAGACTTGCCCTGCCAAAATATTCACAAAAAGTTACTGTTTTCTACAGAGCCCTTTGCAAAAGTTTGCAACATGTTACAGTGTACAGATTATGTATACTATAACGTTTTTCCTTTGTGCACCACTGCCATTTTATTATAAAGAAAACGAGAGTATAGATTCACACGGATTATTAAAAAGATCTATTTTCTCAAATTTTGGCTTTCTTTAGGGCAGTATATCTCCAATATTACGCCAGGTTTATGTCCGCTTTAAATTTACTGCTTTACAAGAAAGGCAGATATATCTTTAATAATTCATGCACATCTATGCTCTTGTCTATAGCATACATAATCCGGACACTGTAACACATGCGGACGAGAAACTATTGCATGCTCACATGAGACGTTTCTCATGTGAAAAAAAATTTAGAAACCAGACTGTAAATTGTGGTTTTAAACTACTTTTTATTGTCAGAACTTACTGAACAACAAATAACAAACTTGCTACAAGTTGTATTAAAAACTTTATGAAAATGTAATGACAGAATTATTCAAAACATCGACATACCTTCTGTTTACTTAAACTTATTTTGTGCTAACTAAGAGTTGGTAGAAAGTACCTTACATGTTTCTGCTGGTAAATATATGAAAATTTAGATTTTTTTTACTGAAATTTACCTTTAATGTCAACTGCTTAAGGTTTAAGAACCCCAATTTTACAGATTTTTCTGATTCAAATATCTTTTTAGGCCAAATAGAAAGTTTTTTTCTGACACAAGTGAAGAATCAGACACTGTTAGTGAGGACGAACAACCACCCACCCCACCCGGCCAACTCAACAACATTACCACCCAGAGCGTCGTCAGCAGACCTGACAGCCAGAGATTCACTGTTACAGGACCATCAAACACCGGACCAGCCGCTCAGAGATTCCCTCCTACAGGACCATCAAACACCGGACCAGCCGCTCAGAGATTCCCTCCTACAGGACCATCAAACACCGGACCAGCCGCTCAGAGATTCCCTCCTACAGGACCATCAAACACCGGACCAGCCGCTCAGAGATTCCCTCCTACAGGACCATCAAACACCGGACCAGCCGCTCAGAGATTCCCTCCTACAGGACCATCAAACACCGGACCAGCCGCTCAGAGATTCCCTCCTACAGGACCATCAAACACCGGACCAGCCGCTCAGAGATTCCCTCCTACAGGACCATCAAACACCGGACCAGCCGCTCAGAGATTCCCTCCTACAGGACCATCAAACACCGGACCAGCCGCTCAGAGATTCCCTCCTACAGGACCATCAAACACCGGACCAGCCGCTCAGAGATTCCCTCCTACAGGACCATCAAACACCGGACCAGCCGCTCAGAGATTCCCTCCTACAGGACCATCAAACACCGGACCAGCCGCTCAGAGATTCCCTCCTACAGGACCATCAAACACCGGACCAGCCGCTCAGAGATTCCCTCCTACAGGACCATCAAACACCGGACCAGCCGCTCAGAGATTCCCTCCTACAGGACCATCAAACACCGGACCAGCCGCACAGAGATTCCCTCCTACAGGACCATCAAACACCGGACCAGCCGCTCAGAGATTCCCTCCTACAGGACCATCAAACACCGGACCAGCCGCTCAGAGATTCCCTCCTACAGGACCATCAAACACCGGACCAGCCGCTCAGAGATTCCCTCCTACAGGACCATCAAACACCGGACCAGCCGCTCAGAGATTCCCTCCTACAGGACCATCAAACACCGGACCAGCCACACAGAGATTCCCTCCTACAGGACCATCAAACACCGGACCAGCCGCTCAGAGATTCCCTCCTACAGGACCATCAAACACCGGACCAGCCACACAGAGATTCCCTCCTACAGGACCATCAAACACCGGACCAGCCACACAGAGATTCCCTCCTACAGGACCATCAAACACCGGACCAGCCGCTCAGAGATTCCCTCCTACAGGACCATCAAACACCGGACCAGCCGCTCAGAGATTCCCTCCTACAGGACCATCAAACACCGGACCAGCCGCTCAGAGATTCCCTCCTACAGGACCATCAAACACCGGACCAGCCGCTCAGAGATTCCCTCCTACAGGACCATCAAACACCGGACCAGCCGCTCAGAGATTCCCTCCTACAGGACCATCAAACACCGGACCAGCCACACAGAGATTCCCTCCTACAGGACCATCAAACACCGGACCAGCCGCTCAGAGATTCCCTCCTACAGGACCATCAAACACCGGACCAGCCGCTCAGAGATTCCCTCCTACAGGACCATCAAACACCGGACCAGCCGCTCAGAGATTCCCTCCTACAGGACCATCAAACACCGGACCAGCCGCTCAGAGATTCCCTCCTACAGGACCATCAAACACCGGACCAGCCGCTCAGAGATTCCCTCCTACAGGTGGGTTTTGTGCTAATATAGTCAAATACACAAATGGTTTATATAAACAGTCAGTTATGTCTAAAGTGAAAGTAAACAGTTGAGAGAAAATCAAATTTGTATCTGTATATTACATGCACACATGAGTCTTAAAGTGACAGACAGCACACGCTGGTTTCTGTCTTTTGCTGAACTGACTTCCATAGTTTATATTTCCTAATATTGAAGTAAAAGGGGACCCGCAACTATTTGGTTACCCACATTCTTCAAAATAACTTTTATGATCAACATAAGAAATAACTTCATTCAGGTTTAAAACAACTTGAGGATGAGAAAATAATTACAGAATTTCCATTTTTTTTCATTATCTTTTATACAGTAGCTTTAAGAAACCATGTACAATTTATACAGTGAAGTCTACATGGTGAATGATACTGTTAAATATTATACTACGGTAGCTAAAAAAAAAAAAAGTACTATTTATTTACTTTGAACAAAGATAAAATAATTAAATGTATCTTTGGCCTAAATGTCTAATTGTTTTTATTTTATTTTTATATTTTGTTACATTGTTAGGCTATGTTTTTAACATAGGGAAATTAGTTTGGCTGTGCTGCTCAGTCACTTGCAAAACAGTAAAACCAACATAAAAAGAATTGTTAAAATCGTGAATCATGATATTCCTGAACAAAATTGTGATAAGATATTTTTGCCATATCGCCCACCCCTAGCTATAGGACCAGCCAACACCGGACCTGCCGCACAGGGATTCACTGCTGCAGGACCTGTCGGTCAGAGAATCGCCACCACCGATTATGCTATGTTCGTCAAGCTTTTAACCCTCCTGGAGGAAGTGAAAGAGACTCAGCGAGTGCATAGCAACATGTTGAATGCTTTGCTTAAGCAGCACAACCATGAGTCATTGCCCAATGTTCCTGAAGAAGCTGTCTTCCCTCTAACAACAACAGAAGAAGTGGAAGCTATGAATGAAAAGTTGCTTGACCCAAGATTCATGTCTAGTGTTGTAGGTTCATGATCAGTGTTCATGTTGCTTGTTGGTTTTTATTTTTTACCATTCTGAAGCTGACTTACGCATACCATCTACAAATCATTCTGTCTGTTTGTACTTAGGTTGCAATGGTTGCAGATGTTGGTGGTTCTTCACTGGATGATGCAACAAGAAGGATGATGAGATTCCTAATTTCAAATGAAGTGGCAATCCAGTACAGTCTGTTTGGCCGTCATGGCAAGAAGAGATTTAGAGATCTGCGCCTTTTTGAGGTCATATACGGTAAGTGTTTTATTGTTGTACTCCTATGCATAAGTCAAGTGAATTTCATTTGTGTAATACTTTTAACAATACACACGCTAGTGCTGCATGATTAATCATATTTTAATCATGATCATAATTTGGAATTAATATTAGGAATTTTGTGTGTAAACTTTTATGCAGGTGGATTGAAGAAGAATTCATTGACCAAAGAAGTCAACCAGAAACAGGCAGAAAAGGCTCTCACCAAATGGTTCACTGGTGCTAGAGACAGGGGTGGAAACAGAGCCATTAGAGGACAACAGGAGAAAAGACCATCTCAAGTACAGTAATATTTTTTGTGCTGTTTTTAGGCCCAAGTATTGTAAAGGAACACGCTAACTTTTTGGGACTTTAGCTCCTTCACCGTATTCCCCAGAGTTAGAAAAGTCCATACATACCCTTTTCATCTCCATGCGTACCATAAATCTGTCTGACGCACCCACCGCTAGCCTAGCTTAGCACAAAGACTAGAGGTAAACGGCTCCAGCTAGCATACTGCTCCCAATAAGTGACAAAATAACGCCAACATTTTCCTATTTACATCTTGTGATTTGTATAGTCATAGCTTGTACAAATAACATTTCTGAGAATATAGTTCCCAGTATGTATACGGTTAGAAGATGGCTGTGTCTCATGTGACCTTGTTATTTGTACACGCTGTGACTATACACATCACAACATGTAAATAGTAAATGTTGGCATAATTTTGTCACTTATTGGGAGCAGTATGTTAGCTGGAGCCGTTTACCTCTAGTCTTTGTGCTAAGCTAGCGGTGGGTGCGTCAAACAGAGTTACGGCACGCACAGAGATGAAAGGGTGCGTATGGACTTATCTAACTCTGGGGAATAAGGTGAAGGAGCTAAAGTCCCAAAAAGTCAGCGTGTTCCTTTAAAGGGTTATTTCACCGTCGTTGCACACACGCAAGACCTGCGTTCATCTTCTGAACATTTTTTTGTTCAAATGTGATTTTTGATGATTTTATAATAAAAAAAACATGTATTTGAAAGTTGTATAAAATATTAAAGTGTAATAAAACATTTTGACATACTGAACCTTTGCAGTTTTTTTTTATTTCATTTTTTAAATTGCACCTTTCATGTTTTGTGATGTTATAGATGAATGAACAGTGGAATATTTTTGCTGAAAACTGACATTTCCCAAACTGAAATAAAGTTACTTTTATCAGTTATCTATTCTAAACAATTTCACTTTTAACTGTAAAGCTGCTTTGAAACAACCTGTATTGTAGAAAGCACTATATAAATGAAGGTGACTTGACAATCAAGCATAAAACGTATAATTAATACATAATTACACTTTCTAGGCCAGATGCATCATAAACCTCATCTAGTACCCAATGAAAAACCCATACTGGGCATATATCACATGTGGGCTTCATAAAGTGGGGGCAGTATGTTGCCCATGTATGTTGCCCAGCTGGGCCCCACATAAGCCCCATTCAGATTCTATATAGCCCCTTTCACACAGCGCTTTGAACCCGGCAAATTGCCAGAGTGCCTTCTGTGTGAACGCAAACACGACCCGGGACTGATGCCGGGATCGATGCCGGGTTGGGGACCTAGTTACATTGCCGTGTTCAGACCCGGAACGCGCGCTGTGTGAACAAAAGCCGTAACCAATGCCGTGTCGTAATGATGACGCTGAAGTGAAGTGAAAGCAGGCTAGTGAAACGGTACGTAATGCGCTAGTTTATGATCGAGTCAGAGAAAAAAATGCACAAGCGTGGTTTCTCCAGAGAGAAATCGCAGCTCATAAGCAAACTATATGTTGCTGAGACATTACATGTCACATCGATGTCACGTGTCTTTCCGGAACATACACGGGTTGTTTTTGAACACGCTCTCTGATTCCGGCAAATCACTGGCAGTGTGAATGAAGCAAAATCAAACAAACCCGGGTCAAATCCCGGGTCGCTTTATCCGTGTATTTTCCGGAATCTCTGTGTGAAAGGGGCTTATGAGATTTATGTGGGCTAATCAAGGTGGGGCCATTGTGCAACCCGTGGACAAACCCATCTAGGGCCCATATTTAAAGCCCATATTGGGCCCACATTGGCCCCACCCTGTAATGTTGGCTGGGGCGCGCGTCCGCGTACAGGCAGGAACGTCTCGAGCACACTCGGCGCACTGAAAGTTCTACTGAGCAAGCCGGTATCGCAGTCAGTCATGAAACGCCAGCAACAAGTGACTTTAATATCTTCATGGATGAAACAAAAAGAAAGGAGATGTAAGTTGGTTGATTCAGTAAATTAGCTCAGGTCAGGGTAATCAAATTTTTTTGTCTACACCTGTTGATACTAACATTGACTGAGTGAGCTAACGTTAACATACACTGTTGCTAGGTAACGTTAACTTCAGACTGTTAGCTAAACATTTAATGTTGCCTAGCCCTAGGCCTAGAACATTCTGTGTACCATGAAAACGAGTCCACTTTAAACCGCAGCGTTTTCTGTCAGCAATGCATGACAAGCAGACTGGCTGCTAGTTTAATGTTATACTCAACTCATTATACTCAGATGCCAGGGACGTGGGAACTATATTGTGAGATGGGGGGCGGGGGCGGGGGGATTTGTTTTAGTGTAGGCCTAGGCTGTGTTATGTATCCTGATTGACTTTATGTTTAGTTAAATCTGTTTTGCACATGCATCGCCACAGAGTTAACCATTTCAGACAGTACCGGTCAGCATCTGTCTCGTTCACTTCACGTCTGTGGGCGTTACCCACAGCTCAGTGTGGCCGCTCCAATTTACCTTCAATGAAATCTAACCTTAGTGTAATTGACAGAAATACTAAAAAATATTTTGCTACCTAAAAGTTAAATATTTTTAATAAAACGTACTCGGTTACTAACGTAACCTCGGTTCTCTCTAGAGAGGGAACGAGTACTGCGTAATAGCTTACGCTAGGGGAAAACCTCTTTTCCACGAGATATTGAAGCCAAAAATTATCCTTAATTTTTTTATTAATGTAAAACGCTTTGCGGCTGCAAGCAGACACAGGCGAGACAGCTCGCGCGCCTATTGGCTGCTCTTGCGGCAAATGCAGCAGCCTATCGAGAGAGACTCTGCGTGACGTAATGACCAATGGGGGCAACTCGCGCCCATATCGTCACGTCCCGCCAGAAAAGGCGTGGTCTCACTCTATAAATATGCTCGTTAGGCTGGTACAAGCTGGTTTTCATCGCTGAAGCGAACCAGAGCGTATTCCAAGCACGGCAAGATACGCAGTACTCGTTCCCTCTCTAGAGAGAACCGAGGTTACGTTAGTAACCGAGTACGTTCTCTTACGAGAGTATCTTTCGTACTGCGTATTAGCTTACGCTAGGGGAACACAATGCAACACGCCGTGCGTACAGGGATCCAACACCAAAGTCCCAGGGGCCGAAGCCCAGGGCTCATATAGTGCATAATCACCATAAACTCACATAGAGTGGAGGAAGAGAGGCTGGAAGCGTCATTCCTAATAAAATAGCACCCAGCGGGGCTATCATATGACAATAAAACGCGCAGCCAGGGTGAAAGCTTTCAGCCTGATCTGGGTGGCCATACATGTGTCAACACTCATGGGGCTGCAGTAAACTCAGCATCTGGGCCGCACAGCGGGCCAGATAGCACTGAATTTTAGACCGCCAAAAGCTTAGCTTGTAAGGCGGGTACCTCCAGGTTATAGTATTTTATAAATGTAGATGGCGAGGCCCAGCCCGCGGCCGTACAGATATCTTGCAGGGAAACCCCGCTAGACCATGCCCACGAAGAATCCACGCCTCTTGTGGAGTGCGCTCTGACACCCAAGGGGCACTACAGGCCCTTTGCAGTGTAAGCTGCATCTGGATAGGCTCTGTTTTGAGGCGGCAAGTCCCTTGGAGCGCCCGCCAAACAAAACGAAAAGCTGCTCAGTCTGTCTGAAAACAGACGAGCGCGACACATAAGCTCTTAATGCCCTGACGGGGCAAAGGAGACTCGCGTCCTCCTCCTCATTGAGAACCGGAAGGGCGGACAGGGAAATTACCTGGGCCCTAAACGGTGTGTTGAGGGATTTCGGCACATACCCGTGCTTAGGTTTGAGAATGACCTTCGAGTCATTAGGCCCAAACTCCATACATGACGCGCTTACTGAAAGCGCCTGCAAGTCCCCTATGCGCTTCACTGAAGCAAGAGCCATGAGAAACACTGTTTTGAACGACAGGTGTTTCATGTCCACTAGCTGGATTGGCTCGAACGGGGCGCCTTTCATGGCCTCCAGGTCCGTGGAAAGCTCCCACGTCGGGACTGAAGGGGGCCTGGGAGGGTTTAGCCTCCGAGCTCCCCTAAGGAAACGCACGACTAAGTCGTTCTTCCCCAGCGACTGGCCAGACACCGGTTTTGCAAACGTTGCTATGGCCGCCACATCTACTTTGAGCGTGGATGGGGTCCTGCCCTTATCCAGTAGCTCTTGAAGGAAGGAAAGCACTTCCGAAACCCCGCATTCCACAGGTGAAAAGCTCTGGGCTTGACACCATGCAGAGAAAACAGACCATTTCGAGGAGTAGAGCCGCCTGGTAGACGGAGCTCTAGCCTACGCGATCGTGTTTAACACTCCTTCTGGGAGGCTAGCGGGTACCCGTTGATGGCCCATGCGTGCAGGGACCACAGCTCCGGGCGAGGGTGCCAAATCGAGCCCTCCGCCTGAGAGAGGAGGTCTCTCCTCAATGGTACAGGCCATGGGGCAGTGCTGGTCAGCTGCATCAGGGCAGGGAACCACGTCTGGTTTGTCCAGAGCGGAGCTACGAGCAGCACTGGGCATCCGTTTTCCCTGATTCGTTCCAACACCTGAGGCAGGAGCGAGACAGGAGGAAAAGCATATAGGGGGCAGCGGGGCCAAACATGAGCCAGCGCGTCCTTGCTTTTCGAGAAAAACTTCGGGCAATGAGCGTTTTCGTGGGACGCGAATAGGCTCACCTGTGCTCTGCCGAACGTTTTCCACAGCAGCTGGACCGTGTGCGGGTGCAGCGACCACTCCCCTGCTGGAACATTGTTCCTGGACAGTCTGTCTGGTCCCACATTCAGGTGACCAGGCACGTGCGCTGCTCTCAGTGAGAGCAGGTTGTGCTGAGCCCAGACCAGGAGGCGTTCCGTCAGCCTGTGAAGGTTTCGTGACCTGACGCCGCCCTGGCGATTTATGTATGCTACCACTGACATGTTGTCCGACCGGACCAAGACGTGGTGGCCTGTTACCTGGAGACAAAAACGCCGTAGCGCTTTGTTGACTGCTATCATCTCCAAGCAGTTTATGTGAAGGAGCT